GTGTATGAGAGTCACTTGGGATCCATAGTCTTATAGTGTGAATGAATAGGTTGTTAAATACAATACTCTATATGTATCATAACACATATTCACACTATTCACTCATCACTTGATGCTATTTAGTAGCCTTTGTCTGAGTATGCCATTGCAAGGTTAAGTGAGGTTGGTACCACAACAGCTTTTAACAAACCTCCCATTGGGACTAGTAGTGAACAGAGGTGTGACTTCACTTCGCCAGTCCTCTGCTAATTTCTGCCAACCCACTTTCCAGTAAAGCCAGTTCCCATGGGGACACCATTATGACTAGTAGTCAGGACCAGAGAACATGGCTCTTACTGGCACTCACATTCTCAAGGCCACACACTGCTCTCTTAAGTTGTCCCTCTGGTCTCCTAAATGCCTGGCCTGACACTGCATCCTTGCATAGACAATAGCTTCAGCCCCCACTCCTATACCATCCTGTCAGTGGCTATGACGACACTAGCTCCGGGTGCAGTTTCTGAACGTTTCACCAAGATGAAAGAGGTATAGCAAGCGTCCATGACATTACTATACCGTTCCAGGTCCATTCCAGAAGGGGGAAAAAAAACACATTTCACCCCTAGCTGCCAACTGGCATTCCAGTCATTCCGGAGAGAAAGGATCATAGGAGCACTTTCCAAGTTAAACAGTAACCCCATGGAAGTGGCCCTCTACTCTGCTCTGTGGTCGACCTGGGAGAGAGCCCTTGAGCTGGGAGGTTACACACACTGTGTCCCCACACACTCAATGACCACATGCCTAAATACGCGTTGCAGGGGATAAAGGGTGAGGTGGACTGCCCTGAGAAGCCTATCTGGGTATGAATAACTTCCTTATCTCCTCCCATACTGAATAATTTACACAATATACTATTAGCCAAAGATGTGCTTCTAAAGCTGAAGTTGACCGCATGCCATGAAGTGAGGTGGTTTCACCTGAGTATGGTTGAACAGAGTTCAGTTATCTCCCATACTGAAACTCTTACACACTATTCAAATAGTTATAGGATTGCTCAAAGCTGTTCCTCTAAACCTGCAGTAGTTGTTAATGTTTAATGCATGCTTTGGTTTTAGCAAATGGTTTTAGAGAAAAGGCAGCGCTCTTAAGCTTGTTCTACTTTGTGGTAGTGTTAGATATTTACATTGTTGTTCTACTGCAGTCCCTCAGGCCCTCAGGCTCAGTGTACAGAAAGAGCCAACAGCGAAAGTAACGTTGGTCTTTGATTAGAGAATCAAACTCAGGCCTGGGGATTCACTGGGGATAGGCAGAACAGTGACAGCAGATACGGAAGTTATTTAAGAAAAAAATAAATAAATATATATATGAAACATGAAACTACTAAGGTAAAAGACTGGGTAACCTCCAAGCGGTGACACACATTTAAATTGAGAAAAACAAAAGATAAAAGTAAACTCTCAGAAACTCAAATCCCAAAGCCTAGATCTGACAGAGACAAAATGGTGTGTTGTTTTTACTTGACAAAAGATTTCTTGATCTAGGTTACGTAATACAGTCACTACTTCCTCTTGTAGTCATGGACATTGCACTGTGTCAACACTGCATTAGTCTCAAGCATTTCTGTCTGTCTGACCTGAGGAACTGTGTGGTTTGAACTGTCTCACAACGCTCTCACATTGGATGGAGAGGATGAGGTAGAGTACCAACCATAGTCTTGGCACATTACATTTCTGACAACAAGAAAAAGCTCCAACATGAGGCATTTGCTCGTCGACAAAGATGAGAATGCTACACAATATGTCAGAATATCAGCGCTTCTCTTTCTCCTTTCTCAGAACCTAGCGATTAGCCTTCTAAAAGTCGGTTGTCCTCATTCAACCATTCTCCATCGGGAGTACAATACATTTTGGCCTTAAGTTTAGTTTACAAATCTCTACATATTAAACATTCATTGGTTCTATTTATCAGGGCATGGGTATTGTTTCAAAATGTATTACCTGGGTGGAGGAAATCTCATAAGCTTTTAGCTAACGCTTCCCCTTTAACCTAACTCCTAACCTTACCCCTAACTTTAACCCTAACCCCTAGCCTAGCTGATGTTAGTGTTAGCCACCTAGCCACCTAGCTAATGTTAGCCACAACAAATTGGAATTTCTAACATATCATACGTTTTGAAAATGCGTAACATATTGTACGTTTTGTAAATTCGTAACATTTCATACAAATTGTAATTCATAACATATCATACAAAATGGATGATGGACATCCACAATCTAATACATACCATGTGAAACGTAACCTATCAAAATAATTCACTTAGAGTTTCTCGGATTTATGTACAGAAAAATATGAAATGCTCTGAGACCAGGTTGCTGTGATTCACACAATTCCCCCGGACATATCATCCCTCCCTGAATGTCGCAGACCTCCAGACCAAGGAGACCAGGCCCAGAATGCCCTGAATGCGTCACCATGCAGTGACTCCTCTATCTCTCACTGGCCCGGCGGTTTAGCAGGCCGGTGTGATGGGCTCATCATGACGCACTCTACCTACTCACAACCCTCCTGCCTCCACACCCGCCACCCCCCACCACAAGAATGAACAGAGTCTGCAGACCTGAAATCACAGGAAAACATGTCAGCCGTTCATCGCTTAGCAACCACAGAATAAAGCAGCCTTGAGCCACCCACTTGGTGCAGAGTTAGGTTTTTACAAGTACATGTGCTGCCCAAATATTAGACCTGCATTAGAGACGTGCGCTCAGAGGATCATGAACCGAAGCAGCCACAGTGCATTGCCTTTGTATATTGATGGAGGTTGTGTGTTAAAATGAACTGGGCTCCCACTGTATCCTGCAGTACTGGCCCTTCTTATTGAGTGACAAGCCATTCATCCACAGTATATAGTCCCCCTTGTACCAGCACGTAGGCCAAAGTGGTCTGACAAGTACAAACCATAGCTTCAGGGAAGAATATAATGAACTAGTGTAAAGACACATGTAACTGTACGTGTGTAAGCGGGGGTGTGTGTGTGTGTGTGTGTGTGTGTGTGTGTGTGTGAGTGGTAAATGGCTAGAGGCAGAGTGGGTGGCGATGTAATGTCATGAAACAATCTCCCTGCAATCTAGCAAGAAATGCCTTGTAATGGATAATTGACATGCACTATGTATTTTTAGATTCAGACTAGCAAGGACTGCCCACACATACATTTGTGCACGCATACAGTCATAAACGACACACATACTCTTTAGTGGTTGCTCTTCGCATCACAAGAGACTGCTATAATGAGCGACAGAACAAGTAAAGTCTTCTCTCTACATCCTCCCTCCCTTATATAGCCTACTAGTCTCTCTCCTCTCTCCTATGTGAGCCTGCTGCCTTCATCTCTTCTATCGTCCTCTAGTTCTCTCTCTGCTCGTCTTCTCTCTCTCTTCTCTCGGTTCTCTCTCTGTCTTCTCTCTCTGTCTCTCTCTCTCTCTCTGTCTGTCTCTCTCTCTCTCTCTCTCTCTCTCTCTCTCTCTCTCGCTCTCCTCTCTCTCTCACAAACACACACACACTCACTCACTCATGTCAGCACTTCTCCCCTCCCTAGGGAGGACACTGACTATTCCTGATGCTAACAAATAATCAACTTAGGGTGACCTATGTCCCCCAGAGAGAGAGAGTCAAAGCGAGAGAGGGAACTGGCTCTGCAGCAGGAGGAGTCTGTCAGTCAGTCAGTCGTCACAGGGAATACCTCAGCACTGTCAGCAGCACTAATCTCTGTAATAACCAACACAATCCTGCCTGTCTGTCTTTACCTTTTTCAATTCAATTCAATCTAACTATTTATCCTCTCAGGGGAAATTAAGAAAGGTAAGTCAGGGACGCTGGGCTGTCATGGCACGAATGAATGTTCTGTGTTCCCCATATGCCATTCTCCACAGAACTTTGAGGAACACTGGCCAACCTGCACACACAGTCTGTGTGTTTGTGTGTGTGTGTCAGCACTTTAGTAAGACTATCCCCCAGCTGTTGTTTTCTTTAGCACATTGGGTGAAGGACCAGGGCAACACTCAGCTCTGGAGAACACTACTCTACTCTAACCTTGTATGAAATTACTGAATACGCTGCTTGGAATTTCTACCCTCATAGACATTTGTGTATGAGTGTGTGTGTGTGTGTGTGTGTACAGAAATATGTTGTGTATGAACAAAAAATGTGTGTGTATGTGTGTGTGTTTCGTAACATTGCCTCCTTTTTGTGTTTGAAATATTCATCTGTTAAGTGTGTTACTTTACATTATTGATTTGCCTAATGGATCGGGGACAATATGTATGGATTAGCCCTGTAGCCTGAAGCAGTCAGAGGAGCTCATGTAACTCACTACTACTGTATAGATACAACAGCACAAATCTTTTATTTACATTTCATATAGCCTTTAGCGTCTGTTGCAGGATCTGAGCATGCTATCCAGAGATGAGCTATTTTCTGCTTTGATAACTTTACATAAGAGTCAAATTAGGCATTTGTTGAATGAATCTCTTGCTAAATGAATCACACACTATAATTATGCAACGCACTATAATGGTAATGAGCACTAGGTTTGATGCAGAAACATTATATGCCGGTTTCCTGGACACAGATTAGCCCTTGACTAAAAAGTATCTTAAATGGAGATTCTCCATTGAGAATGCTTTGTAGTACAGGAATCGGGCTTCTCTTGATCTGGGAAACCGGCCAGAATAGTAATATTAGTGATCACTACAGGTGACTTGGAAAGACACAGTAGTGTGCATAATGACAATAGCATATTTGTAATCCTTTACTGTTGTTTCTCTCTCTCTCTCTCTCTCTCTCTCTCTCTCTCTCTGCTCTCTCTCTCTCATCTCTCTCGTTCTCTCTCTATCTCTCTCCTACTCTCTCATCTCTCTATCTTTCCTCTCTCTCTCTCTCTCTCTCTCTCTCTCTCTCTCTGTGTGTGTGTGTCCAGATATCGGACGCCCTCCAGAAGAGCTACACTAGGTCGGTGCTATGGCAGTTCCTCAGTTTGGGTTATGCCCTCATGCTCTGTCCTTTCGTCATCGTCCTGGGTGGCATGTTCTTCCTGGCAACCGCCCTCTTCTTCCTCGACGACAGGGACAAAGCAGAGAAACAGTGAGTCTCTCTTGCTTTAAAACTGCACAATTTCCTCTCCACCCTGTGGCATAATGTGTAGAATTGCAGGAAATTAGCTTTAAAATGGCCAACAAGAGGGGTGTGAACAGTTTGAACAGTTTGGGTCATATGGGTTGCGAGGTGTGGGTTTGTTACTACACCGATAAATGACAACATCCATCCGGACCTTTGCCATCTAGGAAATGTGTGTGACCGGACATTCTCAAATAGTAGTTGAGCACCCCTGGTCTATATGTTGGAGTTCAGGCTTTATGAAACGTTTAAGTAGGAAATTGTATGCATTTTGACCATTACAGTGTAGGATGGCAAGTCTCAAAAAAGGCATTTCAGTCAAACATATTTCATTGCTTTTAGAAACGGCTCACAGAGCTTGTTCTTCCACTCACAGCTGTTCCCCAGTGTTATTTATGAATATGGTATGTTAAGGAAACAATACAGACCAAATTGACTCTCTTCAGTTTTATTCACGTGTTCTACAGCTTTGTGAAGATAGTGGGGGTGACTTGGACAGGCAATGTAACATCCGTAACGTTTTTTAGGAAAGGTTATTGTAAAACATGCACCTTACATCTGATCATCTTGAAACTTTCTCTGTAAAGCTAACTTTCATCAAGGTTTTACATGTCCATTTCATGTACCATCCATAATGCTTCTTATTTGCTTTATTTCACCAACATGTCAATATTTATAAGTCCGCTTTTTGGGGTATACACTCCCCCAAGGGGTACTGTAGACACACACATCAAAAGTTTCATTTATATTTTGTTTGTCCATTCTGTAAGACATTAAAGTTGTGATTCTGCGTGCAAATGTAAAGTCCATAACGCTGGAATCGCCCAGAGAGGTAAACAGAGGGGAAGCGATCAGGGTCAGGGGAGAGAAAGTGTTTCAGGCTTTGTCAAAAGGGGCTAGAGTCAGCTGGGAGCAGGGGGGGACGACTAGCCTCTCTCATTGAAGCAACGGAAGTTCAAGGCCAACCGCGGTACTGCAGGCATTGTAAGCAGAAAACAGGATCCCCCATTATAGTGAATGGAAAGATGGCGATCTTTGTGGTCAAGCTTTGTGTAAATAAAAAATTAAATTGAAGACAATCATGATACCAAGAATTGCTTCTAATACACCAGATGTATGTCCTTGAACCGATTAATTTTAAATCGCACACAGAAGAAGTTAGGGCTAGATCGAAATGTACAGAATGGTTACCTGGAGGAAAATAGGGGAGGGTCATGCTTTTCAAATAGGCTATAGGGTATGAAGTGCATGCTTGGAGAACCACAGAGCAAAGTTATATTTCTAATATACAGTACCAGTCAAAAGTTTGGACATACCAACTCATTCAAGGGTTTTTCTTTATTTTTACTATTTTCTACATTGTAGAATAATAGTGAAGACATCAAACTATGAGATAACACATATGTCTCGGACCTGCAAATACGATGAAAGATTCGTGCAATGCTTTTACTATAAAGGGAATCTTTCCATCCCTTCTCTTGTCCACGGTGGTCCGCGAACCCACAACCTTCTGGCCTGCAGCCCTGTGTACTATCACAATTCCTGGGTTGCCATGTAGTGCTTAGAGGACGAAGAAGAGTTTCTAAAACTGCATATCTAAGGCTCTGGTCTGTCCAAAAAATGAGTGTAAACGGTAGACATGTTCTCTGCTATTCATTTTGTTTTCATTATTATTTTGGATATAGGGGAGGGTCTTTTTTTTTTCAAGCGTTAATGGAGAGTTTAGGTAAAATATATTTTGCTGAAGGGAGGGCCATCCATTTCCATTTCAGATAGGTCTGATTTTCTCCATGTAACCCTTATTATAAATAATGTTCACTCCCGTATTAGGATAATTTAGTTGCTAATGGCAGCTTGCAATAACCCGGTCGGCCTTCAACTGAGCTAGCCTGCAATGTCACTTCCTGGAGTAGCTCAAACTGCGCATGTTATGTCTCCATGAGACGCCATCTTAACCGACTTCAATTCGCTATTGAGTCTTCACATAGGAATGAATGGTATCACGTGATCAATGGCTTTGTTCATTCATATATGCAGTCATTGGCTGGGAGGGAGAGGATGCTGCAACTCTTTACCTTAAACCTGTAGGCTGTGCCAGGCCTGTCAAACAAGATGCAGAGCCAGAGAAAGCGGGAATACCTAGTCAGTTGCACAACTGAACGTATTCAACTGAAATGTGTCTTCCACATTTAATCCAACCCCTCTGAATCAGAGAGGTGCGGGGGGCTGCCTTAATTGACATCATCGGCGCCCAGTGAGCAGTTATTAGGGACAGAACGGCAGATCTTTTGCACTTTGCCGGCTCGGGGATTTGAACCGAAGAACTTTCGGTTACTGGCCCAACGCTCTTAACTGCTAGGCTACCTGCCTCTTAGGTCTCCTGCCTGACAGTCCCCTGGACAATAGAAACACTGTCGCTATAGTGCCCTCCACTCCTCCCTGTCAGCTAAAAGAGGAAAGTGCTCTGTCCGTCCAAGCAGAGCTGACCCAAGCTGTTCCAACAAGCCATCACATTATTAAACTCTGCTTACTTTGCCTTTCATGAGCTACCACCCCTCATGTACAGTTGAAGTCGGAAGTTTACATACACTTAGGTTGGAAGCATTAAAACTAGTTTTTCAACCACTCCACAAATGTCTTGTTAACAAACTATAGTTTTGGCAAGTCGGTTAGTACATCTACTTTGTGCATGACACAAGTAATTTTTCCAAAAATTGTTTATAGACAGATTATTTCACTTATAATTCACTGTATCACAATTCCAGTGGGTCAGAAGTTTACATACACTAAGTTGACTTTGCCTTTAAACAGCTTGGTAAATTCAAAAAAATTATGTCATGGCTTTAGAAGCTTCATGTACAGTTGAAGTCGAGTTTGAGCACACTTAGGTTGGAGCATTAAAACTAGTTTTCAACCACTTCACAAACTGTCTTTTGTAACAAACTATAGTTGGCAAGTCGGAGTACAATCATGTGCCAAGACCAAGTAATTCAAAAAATTGTTTTAGACAGATATTCACTAATCCTGTATCACATCCAGTGGGTCAGAAGTTTACCAACACCTAAGTTGACACTTTGCATCTTAAAACAGTGTAATTCAAAAAACTATGTCATGGACTTAGAAGCTCTGATAGTAATGACATCATGAGCAATTGGAGGTACTGGGATGTATTTAAGGCCTACCTAAACCGCTTTGCTTGACATTGGGAAATTCAGAAGAAATCCAAGACCTCAGAAAAAAAATGTAGACTCCAAGTCTGGTTCATCCTTGGGAGGAATTTCCAAACGCCTGAAGGTACCACGTTCATCTGTACAAACAATAGTACGCAAGTATAAACACCATGGGACCACGCAGCCGTCATACCACTCAGGAAGGAGACGCGTTCTGTCTCCTAGAGATAAACGTACTTTGGTGCGAAAAGTGCAAATCAATCCCAGAACAACAGCAAAGGACCTTGTGAAGATGCTGGAGGAAACAAAAGTTACAAAAGTATCTATATCCACAGTAAAACGAGTCCTATATCGACATAACCTGAAAGGCCGCTCAGCAAGGAAGAAGCCACTGCTCCAAAACTGCCATAAAAAAGCCAGACTACAGTTTGCAACTGCACATGCGGACAAAGATCGTACTTTTTGGAGAAATGTCCTCTGGTCTGATGAAACAAAAATAGAACTGTTTGGCCATAATGACCATCGTTATGTTTGGAGGAATAAGGGGGTCGCTTACAAGCCGAAGAACACCATCCCAACCGTGAAGCAAGGGGGTGGCAGCATCATGCTGTGGGGGTGCTTTGCTGCAGGAGGGACTTGTTCACTTCACAAAATAGATGGCATAATGAGGAAGGAAAATTATGTGGATATATTGAAGCAACATCTCAAGACATTAGTCAGGAAGTTAAAGCTTGGTCGCAAATGGGTCTTCCAAATGGACAATGACCCCAAGCATACTTCCAAAGTTGTGGCAAAATGGCTTAAGGACAACAAAGTCAAGGTATTGGAGTGGCCATCACATAACCCTGACCTCAATCCTATAGAAAATTTGTGGGCAGAACTGAAAAAGCGTGTGCGAGCAAGGAGGCCTACAAACCTGACTCAGTTACACCAGCTCTGTCAGGAGGAATGGGCCAAAATTCACCCAACTTATTGTGGGAAGCTTATGGAAGGCTACCCGAAACATTTGACCCAAGTTAAACAATTTAAAGGCAATGCTACCAAATACTATTTGAGTGTATGTACATTTCTGACATACTGGGAATGTGATGAAAGAAATAAAAGCTGAAATAAATAATTATCTCTACTATTATTCTGACATTTCACATTCTTAAAATAAAGTGGTGATCCTAACCTAATTTTTACTAGGATTAAATGTCAGGAATTGTGAAAAACTGAGTTTAAATGTATTTGGCTAAGGTGTATGTCAACTTCCGACTTCAACTGTATTTAACGCCCAAACATTCAAATTCTCCTACTCTCTCTTTTCAAACAAAAACACATAAAGCACACACATACGTTGAGGGCATAGAAATGTTGCATCTCATACCCATACAAGGTCAAGACAAACACAGAGTCAACCACTCTTTTCGGGTGCTGCTGTTCCTTCTTTATGTTGTTCCTCTTTTATTTTTGTTATTTTATTTTGGGCACATTTTTTTTTATCGAGTTGACTCCAATAATGTCTTCAGCTCCTCTCTGAAACAACTTCCTTACTGTTGGAGAGTGCCATGGGGCAATGTTAAAGCAGGATGTCAGTCTGTACCTCCTCACCCCTCGGGCCTGACCACTGATGGTTCCCACAATGCACTTTAGTAATAGAGAAGATTTCAGGAGACAGGGACAGTCAGGAGCCTTAGATTAGTTTAATTTGTTTAGTCTCAAATTACTTTGGCATTTACTCTACATAATATTATAATATGATAATATATGCGAATATAATCTATATTTTCATTTTCCATATCATGAGGTCATCAAGAGGGTAATATATCATACAAGTGTAAGTTATTCTTCTATCACACAGAGTCAGATAAATTTGAATAATAATAAGCATTACCTTTGAATAGAGTAAGGACCACGTCCATCCAGGGTTGGGGTCATTTCCATTTCAATTCAGTCAATTCAGGAAGTAAACCTAAATTACATTTCCAATTCTCTCCTCAATGCTTCTCTATGAATTGACCCCAACCATTACAGAAGGACTACTTGTGTCCAGGGATATGTAGCTCTACCTACAGTGAATATATTGTCCCACCACTATCACCATGGACCATCACGCCTCAGAGCTCTTGTCATGTTACAGGTTACAACTAGCCTCTCTCTATATAATATTTAGATCATAAATAGAGTTCATTCATGAACCGTATACAGTATATGTATAGCGTACTTTATAGAGCAGGGCTATTTATGTACCAGTGCAGAGCAGTTCTGACTGGTAGACTTCAGCAGTAGCAGCAATCTTATGTAACACTCTTCAAATAGCATTACACAGATAACAACAACAGGATTGTCAAAAACAACAACGACTTCGATGTAGAGTTATTCCTAGGGCTGTCCCCGACAAAAAAAAATCTTGGTCGACCAAGAGTAGTCTGTTCTGTTTAAACGTGTATTTTTCCATATATAGACACATCCTATGTGTTTTAATCAAATCAACTATATTCACTGAGCTTGTCTGATGATTTAAGCACACTGTTTGTTTAAATCATTAAGACACACAAATGACTAGAGGGAGTCCAACCAGCAATTGATTTGATTGTGCCGGGCTCAGACTTGCTGCGCTGTGTTAAAAAAAAGACAGCGAGTGACTAGCACCCGTTGTCTCTCTCTCCTCCCTGCTGCAGCGACCACCACAGAACGTCAAAGTGTTAATCGCGCTGTCCTTGTTGCTGAAGCTACAACATAATTACAGTCATTTCTGACTGAAATGTTCTGTTACCGAAATCCCTCATTTGTTTAGGAAAAATATTCCCAATTCCCTCAACCCTTGTTCTCTTTACGTGACACATGTATAAATCGCATGCGCGTGACCAATAGGGCCTGACCTATAACATATCATAATCATATTAATAAATTGGTTATAACAAACTCTGAACACCGTAACAGCAAAATGGATGCAGAGGACGTGACAAATATACTCGAAACTGGGGAATGTTAACTGATTGCTCATGAGGTAAAGGGGAAGCCAGATGTGTGGAATAAATGTGACTAAATACACCTCCGCTGTCTTCAACCAGGATCTCAGCGATCACTGCCTCATTGCCTGCGTCCGTAATGGGTCCGCGATCAAACGACCACCCCTCATCACTGTCAAACGCTCCCTAAAACCCTTCAGCAGGCCTTTCTAATTGACCTGGCCCGGGTATCCTGGATGGATATTGACCTCATTCCGTCAGTAGAGGATGCCAGGTTGTTCTTTAAAAGTGCTTTCCTCTCCATCTTAAATAAGCATGCCCCATTCAAAAAATTCAGGAACCAATATACACAATCAGTTAGGAAAGCAAAGGCTAGCTTTTTCAAACAGAAATGTGCATCCTGTAGCACTAACTCCAAAAGGTTTTGGGACACTGTAAAGTCCATGGAGAATAAGAGCACCTCCTCCCAGCTGCCCACTGCACTGAGGCTAGGAAACACTGTCACTACCGATAAATCTACGATAATCGAAAATTTCAACAAGCAGGCCATGCTTTCCACCTGGCTACCCCTACCCCGGCCACCAGCTCTGCCCCCTCCGCTGCAACTTGCCCATGCCCCCCCTGCTTCTCCTTCACCCAAATTCAGATAGCTGATGTTCTGAAAGAGCTGCAAAATCTGGACCCCTACAAATCTGCTGGGCTAGACAATCTGGACCCTTTCTTTCTAAAATGAGCCGCCGAAATTGTCGCAACACCTATTACTAGCCTGTTCAAACTCTCTTTCGTATCGTCTGAGATCCCCAGAGATTGGAAAGCTGCCGCGGTCATCCCCCTCTTCAAAGGGGGTGACACTCCAGATCCAAACTGATACAGACCTAAATCCATCCTGCCCTGCCTTTCGAAAGTATTTGAAAGCCAAGTTAACAAACAGATCACCGACCATTTCGAATCCCACTGTACTTTCTCCGCCATGCAATCTGGTTTCCGAGCTGGTCATGGGTGCACCTCAGCCACGCTCAAGGTCCTAAACGATATTATAACCGCGATCAATAAAAGACAGGACTGTGCAGCCGTCTTCATCGACCTGGCCAAGGGTTTCGACTCCGTCAATCACCGCATTCTTATTGGCAGACTAAATAGCCTTGGTTTCTCAAATGACTGCCTCGCCTGGTTCACCAACTACTTCTCAGATAGAGTTCAATGTGTAAAATCGGAGGGCCTGTTGTCTGGACCTCTGGCAGTCTCTATGGGGGTGCCACAGGGTTCAATTCTCAGGCCGACTATTCTCTATGTATATCAATGATGTTGCTCTTGTTGCTGGTGACTCTCAGATCCACCTCTACGCAGACGACACCATTTTGTATACATCTGGCCCTTCATTGGACACTGTGTTAACAAACCTCCAAACAAGCTTCAATGCCATACAGCACTCCTTCTTGGCCAGGTCGCAGTTGTAAATGAGAACTTGTTCTCAACTGGCTTACCTGGTTAAATAAAGGTGAAATAAAATAAAATAAATAAATAAAATATGGCTTTTTCTTTGCAACTCTACCTAGAAGGTCAGCATCCCGGAGTTGCCTCTTCACTGTTGACGTTGAGACTGGTGTTTTGCGGGTACTATTTAATGATGCTGCCAGTTGCGGACCTATGAGGCGTCTGTTTTTCAAACTACATACTCTGATGTATTTGTCCTCTTGCTCAGTTTTGCACCGGGGCCTCCCACTCCTCTTTCTATTCTGGTTAGAGCCAGTTTGCGCTGTTCTGTGAAGGGAGTAGTACAAAGCGTTGTACGAGATCTTCCGTTTCTTGGCAATTTCTCGCATGGAATAGCCTTCATTTCTCAGAACAAGAATAGACTGATGAGTTTCAGAAGAAAGTTATTTGTTTCTGGCCATTTTGAGCCTGTAATCGAACCCACAATTGCTGATGCTTCAGATAGTCAGCTAGTCTCAAGAAGGCCAGTTTTATTGCTTCTTTAGTCAACAGTTTTCAGCTGTGCTAACATAATTGCAAAAGGGTTTTCTAATGATCAATTAGCATTTTAAAATGATAAACTTGGATTAGCAAACACAACGTGTCATTGGAACACAGGACTGATGGTTGCTGATAATGGGCCTCTGTACGCCTTTGTAGATATTCCATAAAAAATCAGCAGTTTCCAGCTACAATAGCCATTTACAACATTAACAATGTCTACACTGTATTTCTGATCAATTTGATGTTATTTTAATGGACAAAAACATTGCTTTTCTTTCGAAATCAAGGACATTTTTAAGTGACCCCAAACTTTTGAACGGTAGTGTATATATATTTTTTGTGCTACTGCTCGACTAAAGAAATCCCGGTTGACCAACAGCATATCGACCAAACAATCGAACAGTCTACTAAATTGGGTCAGCCCTAGCTTTTCCACATTCACAAACAGGCTATATATAGCAGCTCAAATACCCCTGATTTACACATTTTCTCCTGACTTGACAATTGCAGCCCTTTTTACGAGTCTGTCCTTAAATATTCTGTGATATTTTTAAAAGCAAAGAAGCAGAAGGAGTGTACTCACTGGAGCAAGACTCTGTCTATTCACAGACTTATTATTTCTAGGTTGTCAGCTTTTTTTGGCTGAGGGGAGACCATTAATAGCTCAGCTAAGGCACACAGATGCCCCTAGACTTCACACACACATTATTCACCAACTTAGACTTACACACTCACTCACACGCACTCGCAGACACACACACACAGGTGCACAAATACACACACACATGGCGTGAGAGCTCATCTGTGTCCTCTGCCATGGTTGGCACATCAGTGACTCCTCGTGAGGACAGTACAGTATAGGCTCGGCTGAACTCACTTCTGGGACGACCGCCTGAGGAAGGCAAGAGAACAGATTGAACAGAAGTGTGCTTTAAAGAGAAGAGAAAGAACTTCAATAGACAGCAGGGAGACAGGGAGCATGTGAGGGAAGAAAGTGTGAGAAGAAGGCGTGAGAGACAGAAAAAATATGAAACAAATGGCCAGAAAAAGAGAGCAAAGCATAGTGTGGCAAGGGAAGCTATATTAGTCATAAATTTTATCCTCATACACACACACACTGACACGTTTTATTGCTTGCCTCTGGATGTTTAACTGAGCTTTATGTGTAGAATCTGTGGATTGTTCCTGACTGTCTTCTCTGTTCTGTTCTCAGATTGGCAGCAGTGACGCGACCACCCTCCTCAGTAAAGGTAAGACCAGGTACTTTTATATCACTCTTGAGTTTACGTGTATCTACCACTTAAGAGGTTAGATGTCAATTAAGTTTATCATCTACAGAGCCTTCCGTAATTATTGGGACAGTGAAACATTTGTTCTTCTTTTGGCTCTATACTCCAAACATGTGGATTTTAAATCAAACAATGACTATGAGGTTAAAGTGTAGACTGTCAGCTTTAAATTGAGGGAATTCTCATCCATATCGGGTGAACCGTTTAGAAAGTACAATACATTTTGTACATAGTCCCCCCCATTTTAAGGCACCAAAGGTATTGGGACAAATGACCTAATATGTGTATTAAAGTACTAAAAAGTATTTGGTCCCATATTCACATCACGCAATGACTACACCAAGCTTGTGACTCAACAAATTTGTCGGATGCATATTCTGTTTGTTTTGGTTGTGTTTCAGATTATGTTGTGCCCAATAGAAATTAATGGTAAATAATGTAGTGTCATTTGGAGTCACTTTTATTGTAAGTAAGAATATAATATGTTTGTAAACACTTCTACATTAATGTGGATGCTACCTTTATTACGTATAATCCTGAATGAATCGTGAATAATGATGACTGAAAAAAAGTTAGAGATGCACAAAAACTGTATAGCCTAGGCCTACCGTTAAACGGTAGGACTGACACATTTGAATATGTTTCTATGCACTGCAGGTAGGCCTATGTGAATTATGAATAATGCAAAAGCATGATGGCAAAAGCCTCACAAGTATCTCCTGAGTGGCGCAGTGGTCTAAGGCGCCGCATCGCAGTGCTAACTGTGCCACTAGAGATCCTGGTTCGAATCCAGGCTCTGTCGCAGCCGGCCGCGACCGGGAGACTCATGGGCGGCGCACAATTGGCCCAGGGTAGGGGAGGGAATGGCCGGCAGGGATGTAGCTCAGTTGATAGAGCATGGTGTTTGCAACGCCAGGGTTGTGGGTTCGATTCCCACGGGGGGCCAGTATAAAAAAATATATAAAAATAAAAAATGTATTCACTAACTGTAAGTCGCTCTGGATAAGAGTGTCTGCTAAATGACTAAAATGTAAATGTAAGTAGAACATTTAGAAACCTTGTATGGATAGACTACTTGGCTAATGCATATATAAGAAAGGCACCAGACGCATTGCTGTTGAAACATCTTTCGTTATAGTAGGGTAATGTTAGCCTACTAAGGGCTTGTTTTTTCATCAACGAAACAGAAAACAAGCAATTTTTACAGGAAAATAACTAAAATGTTTCTAAATACGAGTGCCAGTGGATTATCTCTACATGTAGGGGTTTTACGCATCCAAGATAAAAACAGGAGCTGGCAAGAAATAACGTACAATAGCCTACATAGATAAAATGGGGATGTCCGCTTACTGTTTTGATGCTGCTCCTAAACTTGATCTTTTTGGTGATTAGGATTTATTTCAAAGCGGTGTTGCGAGCCAAACCCTTTATCGATAGTCTTGACTACTTGGCAAATGCATTGGGCAGGACAAAAAAAACAACAGTCTTCATTGAGAGGAGGGTAGGTATGCTTGGTTTTTAATAAAATTCATGTTTTTTATGTTTCTAAATACGAGGTTTACCGGCACAAAAAGCACATCTCTCTTGTTTTATGTGCATATGGGCACTGTGCGTCACGGTTGGATTCACCCTAACGTAACATGCGTAAAATAAACTCCTGAAACTAGATCCCCTACACGCTGTTCTTAATGAGAAGGAAAAAAACTGTCGGGGGAGGTTCTCTTCTGCACTGTTCAACCAATCCAGTAAATGTGGAGGAGGAGTTAAGATGGAGTGTCGCCTTGTTAATGTCCAAAAGTAGAAGTCTCGTTAGGTTTGGCTCTCTTTTAATTTCCCCTGAAAACCAGAACATCCAGTTGTTGGGGACTTGACAGAGGCTACAGATGGATAGGCTGTGCTTCCGTTGTCAAAATCTATGTCATAACCAACCGGGTTACTGCTAAGACCAGCTTTCGGTTGGTCTTAAATATCCCCACCAGCACATTCTGAAATTGACACTTTGGTGCACGTTTTTAAGGACACACCTCAGATATTGCTACCCCTCCCACCTTTGCGCAAGCGAGCTCGTATAAGACAGGTAAATTGCCAATTCTGGCACTAGAGTTTGAAAATAGAGTGCCAGCTTTAACAGGTCGAAATTGCAAACGAGTGTGTGTTTTACAATTGCACTGGCTTAACGCCAGACGTGTTTGACTGTTTGAAAATAGTTTTTCCTTCCAACACAAGCTGTAGTGCCCATAAGAAATAAGAAACTGTCTCAATCCTCTACAATCATCCTTTTTAAGTGGGAGACTATACTTTGATTCAATGGCCTTTGAAAGAACTGGGAATATTAGAGACTTTAATTATACTTAGACAGCACTTTCCCCCTAGTTTACATAGACCTTTTAAATGGCGATAACATTCATGTTGAAAGTGATAAATATAATTATGTCATCGTACTGATCTTTGATGTACTTCCTGGTTCCTAGGTTTATTGTGTATATTACGGGATGTCGTCGAGGAGTCGTCAGGGCATTATTGGCCTTGGTACCCTCCCTCCTTCCTCTCTTTATCACACACACACACACGCACCTCCCTCCTTCCTCCCCTTATCACACTCAGACACACACACCGCTCAGCGTAATTATCAACCCCCCCCCCCCCAAAAAAAAATAAACACACACACAGGGGAAACGTTCTGCATTGCACCAGCCAACTCTCCACAGCAGGACAATGGGGAGGTTTGGGAGTAATAGACTAAAAATAACAAGATTAAACCCTGACCCACTGATTGGCAAAGATTTTTGCTTCATGTTATTGTGTCTTGGCTTTTCAAGGTTATCGTGTTTATACATGGAGTCAAGAATGTATCTATCCCTTTGTGCTCCTTGTCTCGGCTAATTAACCTCTTAGCTTGCTTGATACTAGCTCCAGTCAAATTAATACATTATATATACACCATATATGGTGCGGTGGTAGCTCAGCAGCTACGGAGTTGGACATGTAGCTGAAACGTGGCCAGTTTGAATCACAAACCAGGTGGTGGAAAAAAGTCAGAATTGATTTGGCATCTGGACGGCTGCTTAGTTCACATCCTCAAGACATTCTCCTACTGTTGGGCCCTTGAGCAAGGCCCTTAACCCCACAAAATCCTCTCCATCCAGGTACGCTGCATATGTCGTAGGTTATATCAGACATTTGACATGATTTGGATGGTGGACATTTTCATTGCTGGATAAGAATAATAATCACTGTCCCAACCTGGTCTCAGTGCATTTCGTATTATTCTGTACGTAAATCCGGACACTCCATTTAGTATGATATGTTACATTTCGTATGGTACGTATTAATTTGTGGATGTCCATCACTCATTACTTATGATATTTTACGAATTACAATTCGTATTATATGTTAGTAATTTGCAAAACGTACAATATGTTAAGAATTTGCAAGATGTATGATATGTTATTAATTCTAGCTAGGTTGTCTAATGTTAGCTAGTTGGCTAATGTTAACTAAGCTAGGGGTTAGGTTTAAGGTTAAGTTCAGGAGTTAGGTGAAAGGGTTAAAGTTAGGGTTAGGTGAAGAGTTAGCTAAAAGGGTTAAGGTTAGGGGAAGGGATAGCTAACATGCTAAGTAGTTGCAAAGTAGCTAAAAATGTGTAAGTAGTTGCTAATTAGCTAAAATGCTTAAGTTGTCTGTGATGAGATTCAAACATTTGGGTTGCTAGACGTTTGCGTTACACATCAACCCATCCAACCCGACCAACCACCCTACTTTAGTTTTTGCCTTAAGTAACCATCTGTCTTATGTAACCATACCAAACGTAACATATCATACTAATTTGAGTGTCTGGATGTACCTTTACTATGTTACGTCTAATCTATGGGAATAGGCTGACCCTCCCCAAGTACTAAGTTCAATATACACTGAGTATACTAAACATTAGGAACACCTTCCTAATATTGAGTTGCCCTCAGAACAGCCTCAATTAATCGGTGCATGGACTCTACAAGGTGTTAAAAGCGTTCCACAGGGACGCTGGCCCATGTTGACTCCAATGCTTCCCACAGTTGTGCCAAGTTGGCTAGATGTCCTTTGGGTGGTGGACCATTCTTGATACACACGGGAAACTGTTGAGGGTGAAAAACCCAGCAGCGTTGCAGTTCTTGACACATGTCATGGAAAGAGCAGGTGTTCTAAATGTTTTGTATACTCAGTATATACAGTGTCATGTATCATATCATACCGTTTCTCAGATCTATACATGATAAATGTAGTGCACCTTTTTATTACTGGATCAGAATCACACAAACACCCTCCCCAAAATGAGTATAAAACTCCATCACTAAGGTCTAGTGCTGTAAAAAATACAAATAAAAAGTTTGTTCGATTGTGACTTGTGAGTGAAGTGAAGATGCAACAGATTGACTTCATTTAATTAAGGGGATAATATCAGCGCCAACGAGGCCACACCCAAAGTGACAAGGTGACATTATCATGCAGACAGATACAATTCTAGGGCGATTTTTGTAATGTTACCTGTAATGTTCCCCTGATGTTTGAGTGTCCAGTTTTCCGTTAGTTACAGGAACATTTTATGTTAGCAAAAACCTCCTGAGAACCTACTTAACATGTTTTGGCGTTAGAGTTAGGAGAGTATTCCTTTAATGTCAAACAGAACTTACCCACAACGTGGTTACCATGTTCTTAGAATATGCAATATTAATGTTCTAAGCACGTTTCATGGGACGTTGCAAGAACATTCATGTGTCCAGTTTTCTGAGGGTTTGGATTAAAAAAATGTCTCACAGTGATTAAGGAGTTACATTAAAACAGAGTAATATGGCCCACCAACATCAAACAATTATACAGAAAAGCCCCAAATTGCTGGAACAAGTAAATCAAATCAATGATGAGAGTATAGTCAGATTAACTGATAATTGACACAGACATGGTGGTGTAGCAGGAAGATTGGAATGCTGAAAACCAAGAGGTTGTGAGTTCAAATCCCAAGCGAGGACAATAATATTTAGAATAAATTAACATGCAAAATGTAATCGTGTTGGAAATATTGTATGTTCAAAGCACTGTTTGTGTGTGTGGATGTCCCTAAGCCATCGTTTCCTGAACTCGGTCCTCGGGACCCCAAGGGGTGCATGTTTTGGTTTTTGCCCTAACACTACACAGCTGATTCAAATTATCAAAGCTTGATGATTAGATGATTATTTGAATCAGCTGTGTAGTGGTAGGGCAAAAACCAAAACATGCACCCCTTGGGGTCCCGAGGACCGAATTTGGGAAACCCTGCCCTAACCTAACAGACAAAGAGCTGTAAATAATTAGATCAATGGTTCGGCAACAGTAACAAGGGGTGCTGTGTAAAGAAACATATTTTCTGGGGGTAGGGGGGCACGTTTCTTTGGGATCATCAGGTGTCTTTAAGGACGTCTCCGGAACAAGCTGTGAACTAGACATAAACCTCCAGGGGACCATGACAGACCTTAATCTGATGTTAATCTTAAAACAGAACGTCATATGTTTTAAATGTCATTGGACACAGGACTGTTCTGCAACGTCCCATGAAACGTGCCTAGAAAATGTATATCTTATATTCTGAGAACATCGCAACCATGTGGTGTGTGTTTGGTGCAGTGCTGAGCGATTAGTGCTTTTTGAGGTCGGTTCGGTTTCGGTTAGATTATGAAAAAATTATCACGGTTTTCGATTTCGGTTTCGTTCATTTTTTTAGATATTAAATGCACTATGCATTATGTGTGTTGAATGCTGTAACAACACATAATAAAACAATGAATAAAAGTCCCATGATGGTAGTGACTGCCCATTACAGCTTATCACTTATTAAAGCTGCAATATGTAACTTTCTAGGCCACCCGACCAAATTCACATAGACATGTGTGTTATAGATCTGTCATTGTCATTGAAAGCAGTGGTAGATTTGTTCTGTGTGTGTTATTTCTATGCTTGAGTTTAGTTTTTGCCTCTTTTACTTTCGGTTTTCTACACAAACTTCAAACAGCTGAAAATACAATATTTTTGGTTATGGAAAATATATTTCACAGCGGTTTAGATGGTACATTGATTCTCTACACTATACTTGCTTGTTTTGTCACATAAACTGAAATTAGCCAAACTATTAGAATTTTAGCAACCAGGAAATTGCAGAGTGATTTCTACATAGTGCATCTTTAACCATAATATATTCAGATTACTTTACTTTAATAAAATATTTCAGTTGTGTATATTACTCTTGCTTTATTTGATGACTTTATTATTTAATTCCAAGTCATCATCTCATCTCTATAGAGCTGCTGCCTATGCTGTCTGACAAAAATCACTATTATTATTTTTTTAATTTTTTTTCCACTATTTTTGTAGTTCTCCAAAGTAAATAAGGCATACTTTTATGACTGCTGAATACCAACTATCAATCACATAGATCATGTATTTTTAGGTAGAGATACATCGCGAAGCAACTGCTCTCTATCCCTCTTGATCGCTCTTTTGGCTTCTCTCAGTCTCCGTGCCCACACAGATCGGACAACACCCTACTATATCGGACAGTTCGGGATTGAATCGATTTATCGTTAGAGAAAATGCGCATTGAGCTCAGAAATAACCTGAACGAAATGAAATTCAAATAATTGAAACCTGACGAAGGCCATGCAGTCGAAACGCGTCAGATTTAAAAAAAAAAACTTGTTTCTATTGAACATGCCATACAAATAAAGGCATTTTAATTAATTATATGAAGAGTGCCTTGGTCCTCCTTTCTTTTTGATGACCAATTCACCCCTTTTACCAAAGAGAACCTTCTGTCTACCAACATTTACTATTGTGTACCTTAGTAGCACTTCCCTTCTTCTTTCTATCGGTCAATTAGTTGTTTAAAAAACAAAAAATAACAGACATTTCGGTTAATCGCTCAACACTAGAGATCAGATAAGCCTGGATCCAATTAAGTGTCTCCACGGGGGTAAAGTAGTGTGGACGACGATAACCACAAAGGGCTGTGGATTCACTCGACTGCTAGCGCTTGTTAACCCACAGAAGAATACCTGTTATAAACTGTCAAAAGATCACTGTTAGATTTGACAGCGGGATCTTTTTTCAGCATTCACTCTCCTAGTTCCACTTTGTGGATGACCATTCATTCAGGTGGTCCATTATTCAATGCAGCTCCAAACATCCCCCCTATTTAAACCTGTTTTTGCAGCTGTAGACAGTGAATCCAGTACTCAACAGGGTTCTGCTGGTTGGGTTTAGGGGGGTCCAGAGGGTACAGAGAGCGGCATAACCACAGACCACACATTCCGTAGTAGTAGTAGCAGTACACCCACCCCTGACCCCAGCCCCAGTGTGGCCTACCCTCCATAGGGCACCAGACCAGACATGAGGCCAGGGGAGGGGCTCTTCCTTCAGGTTAATGAGGGGGTCGGTGTGGGGGTGGGTGGAGAATTTGATCCACATTTCTGCCCTCCAAGACTCTCGTTGACACTGTTACCATTAAACATAGCAGCCAAAGAGAAGCCAGCGCAAGCACAAGATTTGGTTCTGTGTGCCAAGATACCGCCTTTTCATAATGTGGTCTATCTATACTCATGACTACCAAGCTGTTTTGTGGGTCTAAGTAGTGCAGCCTATCCATTCTGCCCAGCCAAGCCAACCCTGGTATTGTAGCCAGTCAAGCCTAGCCAAACCATGCTGGGTGTATGCAAACTATGCATGTAGCCAGCCAAGTCAAGGCATTCTGTGTATATTTGCTCCCTCCCAACCTCCCTTTGCCATGATTTGCAGCCTCCCTCCTGAGCAACACCCCCTCCAATCGATTTGATTGCATTTTTTGGGCAGCACTCAGGCTGATCAGTATGTATCCCTGCTTAATTTTCCTCCTGGTCACTTCCCACCGATGTTAACCAAAAGAGCTTTGGAGAAAGTGCTTGTTCTGGAATACTGCTGTAGAATTCCACCACCATTCCACCACTCCACACATGCTTCAGTAGGACTGTGTCTAACACAGGGGGTTGGTGGCACCTTAATTGGGGAGGACGGGCTCGTGGTAATGGCTGGAGAGGAATAGGTGGAATGGGATCAAATACATCAAACATATGGTTTCCATGTGTTTGATGCCATTCCATTCGCTCCATTTCAGCCATTATTATGAGTCATCCTCCCCTCAGCAGCCTCCACTGGTGTCTAATGCAAACATATCTTACACCTGCTAGTCTGCCAGTATCAGTTTTCAAAGCATCCTTTCTTTCCAGGGGAATGTGATTGCCAACCCCTTATTATGTAAGACAGTCATTGGAAACAATTACCATAATAAAGCTGCAATTCTGACTAAGAGTTTCTGGCTTTGTGGCACACACACACACACACACACACACACACAAACACATTGTTCTCTGAAATCCTATAATCTTATAGCGTTTAAGGTAATTACTCTTGTTGTGGATGGGGGCTGGTGTTTCTCAGTACTACGAGGGAGGAACAGTGGAACAGCAAACAGCCAAGCCCCCTGCTCTACTGCTCTAATCCTATTGTAGTTCACAGCAGAGCGCTGGAGCATCCACGAACGCACGCGCACGCACACATACACACACACACACACACACTTCTCTAATTCAATCAGTAGGGCGGGAGGGAACAACCACAACAACACACATTTTGGCTGAGTGAGACAGGTGTTATAGCCCCCAGTACATCTGTTTCAGTGTAGTAGGTTTAAAGGTGTCGATGTGGCACAAATTGAGGGAGTAAACACAAACGTGTGTTCATGTTTTAACGTAGACTGTGTGTGGAGAGATCTATCAGCTGGTTAGCTGGTCCCTTGTGTGGCCATGTTTTGGCGTGAAGGAGAGGTCCATTGTTGCTGGATCGTTCCCAGCGGGCAGCGAGTGTATCAGAGCAGAGCCAGGCTGAACCAGAGCCAGGCAGAGCCATCAGACAGTGTTTGTGGTGTTTAGGTTTGTGTGGAGTGGAGAGCAGTAGTGTGGAGGTCCATAGCTCCATAGCTGCTCCCAGTGGGGTTGGTGTATCAGAGCAGAGCCAGGCCGACCCAGAGCCAGACAGGCAGAGCAGAGCCACCAGACAGATGGCTGAGCCGAGCCGAGCCGAGGAGCACTGGAGCACTAATTACATGGGAACATCCTGTGGGGAGGCCAGACCCTAACCACACTCTCCATTTCCTCTTCTCCCTCTCTCTTTCTCCTTCTCTCTCTCTATCTCTCCAGGTCTCCTGAGGAGGGGCCGTCCTTGGGAGGAAGCAGAGGCTCTGCATGCTGCGCTGAAAGAGAGAGAGAGAGGGGGGCAGCTGATCCACGTCTTTATACCCGAGCCATCCACCTTTAACTTCTTTGTCCTCTTCATCACCACCCGCATCATCACTTTTCTTATTCTACATGTTGTGTGGAGGCTGTTACTGTTTATAACTGGAAAGAGGGAGCGCTTTGTTTAACCCTATAGAAGCCTCTGTCACACCTCTCCATGGACTGGCCAATCACACAAAGCAGTGTGCTGAAGCCAGCCAATCGGCTCAGCAGCTGATGGCCTCTGACCTTTTCGGGTTGTCTAATAAAAGCGAGTCACAGAACCATCAGGAGCCAATGGGAGGGAAGAGCCCACCTGGCCCCTCCCCTAGTGCTATACTACTGAATGCTGAACATGGACCTGCCCTATCTGTCTGTCTGTCCACCTGTCTGTCTGTACGTCCGTCTGTCTGTCTGTCTGTCTGTCTGTCTGTCTGTCTGTCTGTCTGTCACATTGCCTGTCAATCTGCACCAAGTGCAATATCATGACATTCCACAACACAGAGGTTCTGCACTGACTGCCGTCACTATAACAACCACCACAACCATCAAAACCAGGAAGTCACTGAAAGGCCAAAAAATGTATCAATAGTGAACAACGTCAGTGACCCCATTTCTCACTCTCCATCCACCATGACAGTCAGGCCTGATGATCCATCCATCCAGCCAGCCTTAAGACTTTGAGCTTATACATTAACGACACACAGTGCAGGCAGGTTTCTTACTTCATTTTCATCCCCCCCTTCCATGTTATTTCTTGTTTCTATGTCTTTTTAGCACTTATAATAAAACAGTGCCGGCCACACCGTACCATACTCAGTAAGTGATCAGAGATGACACACATTTCTGTTGCACACTACTAGAGCTTCTCTTTTTGGGATTTGTATTATTGTGATGTTGGATATGAAACTGGAGGTTATTCTTGATTGCCTATGATTGTTTCAGTAGGCGTAAGGTTAAGACCTCCCCAGCTCATTGATGAAAGGACACTGGACTAGTACATGTTTTATAGTTATTCTAATGTAAACGTTTTTATTTCTAAAATGTTAAAATGCTCAATTTTAACCTATAGGAGCAGTTTTGAAGGGGTGAACGATATACTTGTTTTTACCCTGCTTTGAAGGGAGCGAGGCATTCTATACAGTGGGAGAAGGAGCCTAGCATGCATTGGCCCTACCTGTGAACAATATGTTCCTTTTAACAAATGTATCTCAGTTAGATGGTTGGATTTGATGTTCCGGACGGATCACACCACCCACATTGAAAGAGAGAGAGAGAGAGAGGGACAGTGGCAGAGTTACCTTTTAACGGTGGATAAGATTCATTATCCCCAACCAGTCACAATAGCTGTCTTTGTGCACACACAGGGATTATTTTACCCCTTGTGGATATCCCATTCCTGGAGTTGAGGAAAGAAAAGGACCCTTGGAGTCATAAGTTAATTAACCACAGAAATCAAACCCTTCGAAAGGCATCATATTGCCCAGGTTAAAGTGGAGGAGTGGTTTCTTTTTTGTGATAATGGGTAGCCATGATGAATCCATGAATAACATAGGAACAAACAGTCTACATAGATAACAGGACCTTACTGACAACACCAACGACTGTGATTGAGAAAGCATTCAAAGATAGTTTTTACCCTTATTCACCCTCAAACGGGGACTAGGATTTGTGGCATTGGAAAAAAAGCACTGCTTTCATAGGATACAGAATGAAATACACGTTTTGTCACTGATTCACCATATACACAATGGAGAATATGCTTTACTGCCTCTGTCATATACTAGTATACCATTCTATGCATCAGTTTGGGCATCATATTTGACAGTTTATGCAATCTACTCTAACATAATATGTCAAAGAGGAAGACAATAAACATATTTAGGAATAATTCTGTACTTTATAACGCAACAAAAAGAAACGTTCCTCCAACACACAACTCCACAAAAGGAATGTGTGGTTTCATATTTTCTATTGAAAGGAAACCACCTTGTAGAACTTGATGCAAAAATGTGTGGAAATGTTGTGATAGATTGAATTCATTGGAGAGATACAGATGGGCTTTGAAATGGTTATTGTGTAGTAATAGATGGGTCTGACTCATCGTGGCTGTATGTGTGTGGGATGATGTGTCTCTATTGCCAGTTAATTTGTCTCAGCTTCCCTCACTAGATTATGTCCCAAATGGTACCCTATTCCCTATCTAGTGCACTACTTTTAACCAGGGCCCATAGGGTTCTGATCAAAAGTAGTGCACTATATAGGGAATAGGGTATCATTTCAGATGCAGATATAAACTGTGAGGTGGAGAGCTCTCTGAATGTGATTCTATCCAACCTGATGTGTTTACTCAGCAACATCATCTTAATCTTATCTTTATCTTTCTTTTTATACAAATTAGTTTTATATATGACTGCAATAGAGATATATAGCTATATTATGCAGCGATTTTAATATATTGTAAATGATGGCTTGGATGCAATGTATTTATTTGTTTGTTAATGACGATTGAAGAAGAATCTGTAAAGGGAAGTTGATGTTTTAAGTTTACTCTTAAGTATACACTTTATTGTCTCTTTGGGTTAAGAAAGGCTCCTACGTATATGTTCATCATATTGTATTGCAATGAAACAACACAATACCTTTTTACATCACTGAGAATCCTTGTGTTTACTGTGATCATGAATTGGATATCACACACACACACACACATGCACAGACACACACACACACACACACACACACACACACACAGGGAACTGCATCGTTAACCGTTTTATACAAAGTATTGCTCTATGCTCTATTGCTCAATACTTCATTTTGTATTTTCAAAAGTGTCGCTTCTTTTTCTAGACCAACAAATCAAAGTATTTTGCACGTTAATTTTCATTTGATTGAGAAGGTGATATTCAGGGATTTATTTGTAACCCCATAACTGGCATGTTGTTCTAGAATCAACTTCACACATTCTATAGAACTCTGTAGAACACTCTCCCACAGAGCACTGAACACTTTCATGCTCACAGTAAGTGCTGGCATTCTGTCTTAGAACAACAGTAGAGGGGC